GATCTTTACCTCCCAGCCTCACTGGGTGAGACAGGAGAAACTATTGGGCATATCCAGGAACATCTAGGCACACCCTAGCCACTCCTGAAGCCATAGATGCAAGGCAGAATACAATCCACAAAGCCAGGCAGGTCCTGAACAGTTTCAGAACCACCTTTCCCTAAATCCATAGCAATACCCATGAGAGAAAGTGTAATGCATTTAGCCACATCTTCCAGCCAAACAATGCCACTGACTGACTTTGCTTCCTTTCTGAGCACTGCATTTAGGATTTCTTGCTATCAGCAGCAATTCTCTAATATTCCAGTCAATTCTCCCAGAATCTTCAGCATGCTCAAAGAGAGCTCATTTAAATAAAACAGCTGGAGAAGCCACATCACAAGTCAGACAGCCTTGTTCAAAGGGAGATGAGTCACCAGCTTTCATTCCCTTTCTCCCCTCAACCAGATTTCAGAGAAAAATTCTTGTTGGTCACTGTCATTATGGCACAGCTATGATCTGAATATTCCTTTTTTTTTCATTTTGCTGTTGTGTTAGGGGGTCAGAAATAGTTTGAAAAGAAAGGCTTGATTGTGAAGCAAAAAGCATTTGTCCTGACATTGGGTGATCAAGCCTATGAGCCAGATGATTTGATTTCCCCAAACAGCTCTTGTTATATGCTATATAAAGTTAACTTAGGAAATATTTTGATGCTATTGTATAACTTCAGCTATGAAGGGACAGTAAAACTTTTTCACTGCTGTTTTCTCTGCAGTCTTTTTTATTTCCGATTTAAAAGTGCATCATTGGTATTAACACACATTACTCAATAGCTCAGTTCCATCAAGTATTAACAATCAAACGTCTTCAGTCCTAAAAAATATTGTTTCTCAAAATTATCTTATAATAAACTTCTATCTCCCATCCTGATTGACACCGAAATAACTTTAAAATTATGACCCAAAATACTGTAAGTTCCACACTACTCCAAGGAAGCTCTGAGATGGCTCTGAACACATGGACTGCCCTCTATGCACTGTGCAAATGCCCAAGTTCTTAGCCATTATCTGCAGAGGGAAGCAAAAAATGTTTTAATTTTACTAAGAGGAAGTAAAGCAACATTTAGAACTACCTTGCTCAGAAGTCAGAGTCACAGTAAAACAGGTCCTGTTTGCCATCAGACATCTATTTCTGAGGTAGTCACTGTAGGACCTCTTTACAGTCAACAAAACAGGTTCCTTGCAAGGGTGATACATCTTCTAATACAGATGTCCTAGCAGACCAGTTGAATCAGACCCCGCAGCATGTATTTCTCTTTATTGACTATAAAGGGAGTCAAAGTTGACTACCTTTAATATCAATGAATACGCTATTCATGTCAAACAAATCCCACAAATGTCCTGACCACAACATCCTTTCCAGCAATACAGCAGGTGGCAATGGAACAGCAAGTACTCTGTTTGCAAAGACAGGCATTGCAAGGCTACAGAATAACTCAAGGAATTTTGAATGCTCAGAAGAAGAAACTGCATCACTTCTGAGTCTTAGTACTATGCCTGCACATGTAAGTCACCTAAGAGAATTTTAACTTTGCGAACAGATAGAATGGAAAGACAGATATTCAGCCTGTGAACTCCAAAAAGAGCCTTTTAATGAATATATTGAACAGTGACAAAGTCACACATACCTTGGCTTTATTTCAGGAGGTTTAGGTAAGGGCTTCAGAAAGCCTTTTTTTTCCAGTCAGCCAATATGTGTCTTCTACTCCTTTACCCTAAAATAACCAGTCAGCCAATATGTCTTCTACTCCTTTACCCTAAAATAAAAACAAAAATTGAGATAAAGATCATACATAATTTCCTCACTGGGTTTCTCTGGCTTCACATATATATCCACAGACAGACCATGGCTGGAAATCTTGTGCTGTCCTTCACAATATATATCCACAGACAGACCATCGCTGGAAATCTTGTGCTGTCCTTCACAATGGCTCAGGGATTATTTGAATTTCATTATCCTAAAAGAGGATATTCATTATCCTTGTTCAAACTGTCATTTACAAATGACCCTCATTGATCTGGGTCATTGAAACTACATGACTTAACAGAAGTGGGAAACTACAGGATCTCTTATCATCTTACTTGGCACACTAGCATTATTAATTGAGAGATTTTACAACTCTTGCTGGACTGAGTGTCAGAATAATAACCTCATCTCCCACCAGTGATGATTTAGCTTTTAAGGTGTGATGCATCAGATGAACTGTAGGTATCTACATCAGAGTCAATCACCCTTGACTGAAGAAGTGGAGGAAAACAGACATTTATCTTCACATAAACTAGACCCTGAAAGTATGGCAGGTTAATATTTCCTACAGTCCCAATTTATCTAAACTAACTATGTAAAGGTTTCTTTCCATTGACTAAAACTGGAATAACTACCTCAGCTCTCCACTTGGAGACATATGAACTTGGGCAAGATGATTCCACTTGTCATGAAAGATTGTTGAGGGACTTGAGGCCATATTCAGACCTTTTATTCTATGTGTTTAAGGCAAGCAAAGCCCCTACTTCTGTCTATTGTCTATGTAAGTGTATTCAGACCTTTTATTCTGTGTGTTTAAGGCAAGCAAAGCTCCTACTTCTGTCTATTGTCTATGTAAGTGTTGTTTGAATTATTTAGTACTGTCTTACTTGGACATTGTGAAAAGTAGCAGCTCCTGTCAAGAGTGAGATAAATATAGTCCTGTATAAATACTTGTATCCAGCATGTACAGCTGATTGCTTGATCCCACGGTCCTTCAGTAACCACCTCACATACTAAAACAACTGATAGGGACAACTAGGGAAGGATTCAGCAGAAGAGTGGTGGATGAAGGCCAAACAAGAGCTTAACTTTAAAATTCCTTAAGCAAGGAGACTCCCCTGTGAAACATTTCACAGAGCTCTGGCCTTCTTACCTTCAGTTCTGTTTTTTCCTTAGGTGTGATTTCATAGCCTTCATTCAGACTCCAAAGCGTATCCACTGTACTTTGGCTGACATGAATTCTGTAAGCTGGAAACAGACAGCAAAACAACTGGATCACTGTATTGCATACACTCTGCCAATTCTCCACTGCTTCATACTGACAAGGAAAAATGCTTCAAAGCATGCAGGTATGTAGCTGATGTAGCTGTGTGGTGTTTCTCTACGTAGAGTTTAATGCTGATGGATGGATTCCTCCAGGCAGGGCTGTAATAAGCACAGGGTGAGAGGAGATCTACACTGGAGGCTTCCTGAAGAAGGATACCAAACACACTAAGGATAGAAGTCCCACTCTTAATAAAGATAGTAAGTGGTTTTCCAGTTACAGTGTCAGCTGGAATACTGTTTTATCTATTGCCACAGTATAACTAGGGCATGGGAAAGTAAAGAAAAATAACCAACTGTCCTGCACCAGACACCCAATATAATTTGAAAGTTGGGATAAAGCGCAGAGAGATGGAGTTTGCAGGGGAACATAAAGAACATGAGTTTCCAGTAATTGATTCCACACAGAGCTACTATTAAATCTATGAACAGAAAGGACAAAGGTGGAGAACTTTATTGAATTCCCAACTCCCCCAGTTTGTTTTACAGCCACTGCTGGAACTCACTGAAGTTTGTTATTGTTCTGCAGCTGTGAACAAGCTTGGCAATGTTTCTAAAATATTTTCCTCCCAAATTGTTTTCATTGTTGTTGTTTTTGTTGAGGTTTTATTTCAGTTGTGTCAACCACATTCTCTTCCCCCTGAAGGATAGGGGATAAGCCAATTAATTCTTTTTCCCATAATAATCAAAAAGAAGAACATCAGTTCAAATATGCAGAGGAAGACCACACAGCTATGAGCCACATTTCCTGAGAGACTAACCTACAATTTTCCTATTGCTATGTATCTACATACATTTCTATTAAGGTATAATGATGCTCTTGTATTTGCAGTGGTCCTGCTGTCTCCAGTCTCAGTGGGACTTTGTACTACCAAGGGTATGATGTAAACAGTGCCCACGTGTGCTTCAACCCTTGCCTGGTCCTGGTCATGACAAGTAAATGCATTATTTTATTGTGCAAGAACAGCTCTGAATTAAGGATTCTCAGTGCTGAATGAAAGCAAGGTCCAAACCATGTTGGAGAAAACTAGGGCAAGACTCATGTTGATTTTGGTTGGTGGGATCCAAATCAGAGAACTGTACCTGCACGACAGGGTCTTAAGGGCTGACCTACAATGGCAAAGCTGACGCCCTTTCTTTCAGGCTGCGTTGAATTTTGTCATTTGACTTGCACCTTTCTTCAGAGGCAGTGTTTATAACTACAGATGTCTATTTCTTTGTATCTCTTGAGAAGTTTGTTCAACCACCCTCCCCAGGGCCTGCCCCAAATATTCACGGAGGCCGGTGGACTCCATTCGTGATGCCGTGTTCACTGTGTCTCCAAAGAGGCAGTACCGTGGCATGGTTAGCCCCACCACACCTGCCACACAAGGCCCTGAAAGACACATCATCTGTGTAACCCAGAAGGTACTGCACAAATCAAGGGGTTTACTGGCAAACAAATTTCATCCTCTCCTCTGATATTCATAAGGAACTTGAGAATACAGAAGATGATTTTTAAAGATCTCATTGGTCTTGGTGCTTGCTACAAACAGTCAAACATTAAGCATTGCTCTGGATTGCACACAGGTATTTTACACCTGAGAAAGGTCGTGTGTGGTAGGATAGTGCAAGGGGTACCCTTCATTCCACTTGGTCGTGTGTGTGTGGTTGGGCAGCACCAGGTTCCGTGTCGTGAATAATTGTGTATGAGTCATTCCCCTGTCTTGTACACTCTGTTATTAATACAGTTGTTACTGTTCATTTTCTTTCTTTATTGCTGTTTCTTAGTATATCGTTCTTATCTCAACCCATGATCTTTACCTTTTGTGCCTCCAGTTCCCTCCATCCCGCTGCAGGAGGAGGGGGTGGAGGAATGAGCTAGCAGTGCAGGGTCTGGGGGGATTTCAGTGGAAACACTAAATCGGGGAATATCAGTCCTAAACCATGACAACAAGTCACAGCTCTGTTCTAGGGATATTCTGAGTGAGATACTTCCTTGCTGAGAAACTTTCTCTGCTTCTGTCTCCCAACATATGCAACAGGGAACAGGATACTGACATGTGTAGAACACTTGCATGCCAAAGCTGCAAAAATGTGGACATTATCAGATAGACAGAAGGATAAACCCCCCTGTGATAGTGGCTCAGACTCCTGGGCAGTCTTTTTCATTGTTTGGCTTCCCACAATGGGCAGCACCTGGTACTTCAAAAGAAGACACAAGAAGTCTGCTGACAAACAGCTGTGAAAAATCCATTAATGGATGACTACTAAATGTATAAAATCATGAAGGTTCATAACTCTTGTAAAAATACTGATTCTATGACAATAGCAGATGTGTTTTCCTGCATTTAAAATCATACTTTTGCCTATATAACTGCAGTACTTACTGGAGATTCTTTTGCTCTATTTTGGAGTTTAATTACATTTTCTATACAAAATAAAAAAAGAAACTTCTTTTCTTTCTAAGCCAGCCTCTTTTCCATTATTTGAATAGATTGACTTCTGCGTCAGAAATAATTTGTTTTCTTTATAATGTAACTTCTAAAGAGCTGTATCACATTTTTCCTCCACTTATGTACTACCTGTAATAAATCTCCCCAACCTTTTCATTCTTTCACCTTATATGCCAGTTTTCCTGTGCCTTTTAGCAGAACAGTGCTGTAAAGACATCATTGGATATCTGCATATCCCACCAGTGAAGATCCTATGGTGCAGCAAACAGCTATCCTTACAGTTAAACACTTGTCACTGCCATGTCTGATGTAGTTGCTGGCTAGGACAGAATACACATTTTCTCCCCCAAATGATACTAAGCCATTTTCCTCCTTAGGCTTCGTGTTTCCATTTTAATGGCCTTGTTGATATGGAAGATTTTAAAGTGTCTTCCAAGGTGCTTGTTTTGGGGTAGGCATGGAGAAAGCATTCAAAGCTGGAAAAACAATGGCAAAGGAGTTTTTCAATGTTCAGGTTCAGGCGAGTGCTGCTGCCTACCTGGTTGCAGCCCGATTCGTATCCTGAGAGGAAAGTCTGGCATGTGTCTCATTTTGAATGTTCCTACTGAGCTGAGGATGTCCAAGGACATGTTGGCTATCTCAGCCACGTGCTTGTTTCCATTCCGTTTTGGGAGCCCTGAAGCGACCATGTAGGCATCACCAATTGTCTCCACCTAGGAAACATTACATTTAAAAAATATATAAATAAACTGGGAAACAAATGGAAAAGAGACATAGAATAAAATTACTCCTCACCTTGTAAACGTCATGGTTTCTAAGAACAGCATCAAATAATGTGGAAAGGTTGTTCAGAAGGTCAACTACTTCAATGGGTTCACTGAAGGCTGAGATGGATGTGAAGCCCACAATGTCACTGAAGTAGATGGTCACCTGGTCAAAATGCTCTGGTTCTACAGTGCTGCCAGTCTTAAGGGCTTCTGCCACTGATCTGAAATAAGAACACAAGCAAAGACTGCAGTGCACGAACGCTTTTGTAGTGCATGCCCAATAGCTCAGTTACTTTTGTGCTACTGTGTTCAGAAGTTTTTCCGCTAGATAGAAAGTTCTGTATGGCTCTAAGAAGAATTGATTAAAGTTTCTAACTTTGGTTGGAAGGTGCTTGCCAAAATTGTAGGTCAGCTTTACAGTGTTGCTTAGTGCTTGGGGAAGAGTTTTGTCCAGTCTAGCTATGGTTATTTGGTTTTGGGGTTTTTTTTTGTTGGCTTGGTTTGGTTTGGTTTGGTTTGGTTTGGTTTGGTTTGGTTTGGTTTGGTTTGGTTTGGTTCGGTTTAGTTTGGTTTTTTATACCACCTAAAGCACCAGTACTTACGGTGGAAGCATTTGTGACAGTAGCATTTCTGTCTTCTGTTTTTCATTCTTTAGCTCTTCAGTCCGCTCCCTGATTAAACCTTCTAGGCTGCTTGAATACTGCTCAAGCATCCTGAGCATTGAATCAGTTATATTGGTCTTTTTCCCTTTGTTGATGGCTTTGAACTGGAAAATCAAACTGGAGGGTTATTCGTCCATCTCATTACACCATTGTAGAATTCTAAATTTGGAAAGGAATGAAAAGCAAACCCTTATTTTAAAGGGTAAATGCTATAGACTGGCTTTATCAGTGGCAAGAGTTCAACGATAAAGGAAAAAGGCAAACTAGAAGATGAATATGCCTCAATAACTATGGAAGCTAGCCAGGAGCGTGTTGCTTCTCTATGAACTTTCAGTGAGAATTAAGAGAAACCATGACCTTACAGTAGTTGTCAACATGTACGTTGTTACAGAGTCCTATCAGGCTGCAGGTTTGCAACCCCATTTATCCCACGACCAACCTTTAGGGTAACTTGCTGACTTTTGCATTCAGAGGTGCAAATTTCAGGGTATTAGCAACACTTACAACCTGTTTACTGGACTTAAATCCACCTTTGCACACTGGCATGTACATGTACATCCCTCACTTGGGGATGGATGTGGCAGTACTTGAGTTGTGCTTTCTTGTCCTGGCCTGAAGTTGAGTCTCTGGACATTTGGATAATTTGTAGCTTCAGAAGCTGCCTTAGAGTCAACAGTAGAGTCACATGGGTCTAAAATTATTCACAGCTTCGTAGAACCAAAAGATAAAAATTATGGATATTGGTTTACCTGGTTAGAGGAAATGTCCTCAAGCTGCATCAGGCAAGGTTTAGACTGGATATTAGGAAAATTGTATTTCATAGAAAGAGTTTTAAAACATTGGAAAAGACTGCTCAGGGAAGTGGTGGAGTCACCATCCCTGGAAGTGTTCAAAAGGTGTGTGGATATGGCGCTTGAGGATATAGTTTAATGGTGAACATGGTGGTGGTGCTAGGTTGACAGTTGGATTTAATGATCTTAAAGTCTTTTCCAACCTTAATGGTTCTATGATGTTCTAAGAACAGAGGAACTGTACTGCTTGCCAGTACCTGTCCCTGAGACTGGACAGTAATAGATGTCTGGGAAGGCTGTTCAGACAGGGCTCAGGTACAGTCATATTTCCCTGGGATCTCCTCCCAATCCTTCACCAATCTGGAGTTAAGAGACCTCCTATACCAAATGTTGTATCTTTGTGTTTAAAAGCCTTTGGTGAATTTCCTTTTAAATCAGTCATCTTTTAAATAATTTAGAAGATAAAAAAATTATATTGTTCCGAAGGTGCTATCATAATTTACAGATCATTGGTCTCCATGAGACCATCCATGCAGGTATACTGCAAATATGAAGACAACAAGCCCATGTCTAGGCTGCTTCACCACCCCAGGTCAGGACAAGATTACAGCTCAGTAACTTCTTCAATCATTTTTTTAATGGCGCACTTATGCAAAAAAACCAAAACCACTTTCCTGCTAAGTACAAACAAATGAATTGCACCTGCTGCTCTATTCACTGACCTTATGAAATACCTCCTCAAAGGTTGGATGTTGCTCCGGGGCCTCAGCCCAGCATTGCTTCATTATCTGGAGGCATGTCAGGGGAGCTGCCTCAGGGGCTATGCTTGGGTGGCACGGGGAGGGGGCTTCTTCACTTTTTTTATAATTTTTGTGGCAAAGAGAAGAATGGGAAGAATGTTGTGAGATAGAGGGTCTTAGTAGAGGAAAAGTGCATGGTTCTTTTCACTTGCCTCTTGCTTGCTCTTTTAGTCATCACTATTACTCTTCAACACCCAATGTCTGTGCCAAATGAAGGTGGAGATTTCTGCTTTGCTGTCAGGAGTCTTTTGAAGGATTTAAAAGAGACTCAGAGATTCATCTGCCACCTTGTCCCTGGAGAACGAGGTTATGAGCAATAAAGTGGCTGGATGGGGGAAGGATGTGTGACAGATGGATGTGTGAGCCTGTAGGCTTGTATTTAATGAAATTGCTTCTGACTCTCTCCACTAGAATCTGCAGTCTTCTAAGACAGCTGAGGTTTGTGGCTGAGTCCAGAGAGGAACTGACTCTTAATCGTTAACTGAGAACCAGCATGTAGGAGGTTGATGGGAATGCAGACAGTTAAGGGAGAGAGTTTGGGTTCAAAACAATGTCTGGGAAATGACTCTCTATCTAGAGGTGAAATAAGACTAATAAGGAATTGGTCTTGGGCTTTCAAACCCTGAGAAGTCAGTCCTTGAAAAAATCCACCAAGGTTATTTTCTTTGAAAGTTTCATTTTGTGTAGTGCAGAGCAGCCAAATGGAGTGAAAACCACTCTCTCTGGCAAGAGCTCTGCATTTCCACAGCTGTTGCCATGAACACCCAAAGCTTTTCAGTGTTGACAGTTTACTTTAAAGCTCTTTGGCTCATTCCACCAGTCTTCACAAAATGAACTAATCAAAGCACCTGGCCCAAATATTTCCAAGGGCAGCCAAGGGGAAATGCCTTCCCCAGATGGTTTTAAAGTTCACACAACAAGTGAAACCTCCTTCAGGATTAGGATGCAATGAGTAGAAATTCTTCATTTTATCAGGTTAGGGAACTGGACTGAACTGTGTTTAACATTTGCTGGAGGTTTCACAGGGGGATTGGTTGGGGGGACACCTGCTAATTACATCATAGGCCACATCATAGATCAACTCTGATTTGCAGAGTGGGATACATCATAATCATCATTGTCATTGCATTATTGCAGCAGCTTCAGGTGCAGCAAGGTCAGGACCCCATTTTTTCACGCACTGAACACCCATGCCCCACGTGCTGACTGTCCAGCTTAAAACATGTTGAGAACAGGCTTTCACTTAAATCAGTTCTTTTCCAATTGTTCTCACTGTCTCCCTGTTCAGGTGCTTGCGACCTGACCCTGACTGCAGTGAGTTCGCTCTTCCCATGCATGCACAACATGGTTGCACCATAAGCAGTTCCTAAGGAGCTCACATATTAGCTATTTCTGATAGAAGTCACCTTTTATGGGTGCTTGTATGTGCAAGGCCTTAAAAATATACTGAAATAGTTGCCTACCTTCAGCTGAGAGTTCTGATGTGCAGTATGGTGGACCCCGAGTAACCACCTCTTGTAAGATTATTGCAAAGCTGTAAATGTCCCCTTTGAATGTGCCTTTTCTGTGCATGTCTGGTTCCCTCAGTAACTCAGGAGCTGTCCAGAGCAATTCTAAAAAATTCCAGAGCATCATATTTCTTACACTTGAGTTCAGACTATTTCAAAGTAAGTACTTAAATTAATACCTTATTTCAGTCATTTGAGGAAAGGTTGGAAAGTACTTCATTATTTACTGAATTAAATAATTTATTCCTTGTGAAGTGTTAGAAATATTAAACTTCCACCCTGACGAAAATTTTGAATTTCCAAATTTCACTCTACGTTTAAGAATAAATGTTGCAATATCAACAGTTTGTATCATATAACAGCAATCCTCAACTTCAACATAAGAAGTTGTGTCACCTTTTTAATACCTTTCTTAACACCTTTTTTTTAACTGAAAATGTCACTCAGACAAAATATTTGCACTGAAGCCTGGATTTCTTGTTACTGTTGTTTCTTTTTTACAAAGCAACAATTAATAAAATATTTCCTGTAGTTCTTCTTAGACGACAGTATTTTCTGTAAAAGCAGTTTGTGACAACCTGAAGCGTGATCAGTCATTATAACACAATAGTTCAAGTGATGAAAGACAGAGTTGTAAAACATACCCAGCCTCATGGAGGACTGAATCTTCAAACTGTGATATTGTTACTGTGGTAACTTTGCATTCTAAGTAATGGGAATAAGGAAAATTTCAACTACTCCAAGTATATTTAACTTCTTTAGGGGAGAAGATGGTCTTCTGTCTGGCAACTGCCCTATCTGAGACACTGGAAATGTGTAGGCATCAAATCTCATGACAGAGGAATTAAAATACTACATACTACTTGAAACCAGGCCAGGTGAAAGAAATCCTGTCAAATTCTCCAAACCTTGTCCCATGAGATGCTGTCCCTAAGTGATGGGAATCTCATGTGGCAGCTTTGGTGATTGGCATGTAGAGGACCTATTTCAAAGAGACCTGCATAATTTTGTCTTTCAGATGGCTTATTTTAACAACAACAACAAAAGACTCTTTGCATTTGGGTTAGCCTAAAACACCAGGGTTGGATCTGAGGATGTGAAGCCAGTTCTACTGGTCACAGAAATTCAGTACTGATAAGATTTCAGGGGCAATTAAATTCTTCTCATTAAGTTCTGACACTGCTTACAATAAGATTTCCTTACAAAAGGTTTTCCTCACCATGTCACTCTGCTATTCACTTCACTTTCAGGAAGTCTGAAAAAAACTTTGCTTATCCTTTCTTGTAACAATGCATGATATGCAGGAAACTAGATGTTGTGAGATTGAGCACGTAAATCGTTATGTGGCCACTGGCCTGAAATTGCATTAGGACAAACATCTGTTAAATCAATGGACAAATATTTCCAAAAAAGTATTTCCTCATGGCACCTACCCTGTGGGAGTGGCTGAATATATGGACATTTCTGTGCTTCTAAGAGCTCATTATAACCATAGTCAGTGATCTTCAGCACAAACCGGCCATCCACAACGCAGTTATGAGACTTGAGATGTCCATGGGCAAAATCTCGGTGATGCAAATATCTAATTCCCTATGAAACACAGAAATAAATCAAGGCTGCTCCTTAGGAATTATATTATCCATCAGAATTCAGAGACACCAAACCAAATTGTCATCTTAGATGGCATCAGGTACAACATTGACTCTATGCCAAATGCAGTCATGATTAAACCATGATTAAAGAAACTATAGGAGAGTTTCAGAAATTGATTAGGAACATGAATTAGGTCATCTGCACCCTAAATTAATATTGGAAATGATTGGCAGCTTTAGGAACAGTCAGATGCCTCCCTCTGTAGCCCTAGGACTCATTGCACTCAGAATTTCCACTTTTAGACAAGGGTAAGAAAGTGGGCACAAGAGGCACCTAATGATTAGGACAAAGGAACCATGAAGAGCTGAATGCCCTTACCCAACTCTCTCAAGGAAGTTCAGAAGGTGGATCATGGGCTGTAAGAATGGTTCTGGAAGTCTACCCTCTGGAAGTCCCCTGTCCCAGATGAGTAGCTCACCATCAGGGTATGAAAACACATGGGACAGGATTGGAAGTGTGTGAACACTCTGCTAAAGTGACCATATGTGCAGCCATCCTGTGGCAGGGGATGGAAACTGTTTGGTTCTATGGGAGATGCATTTCTGATTTACAGAAAGAAAGGGTCTTTGGAATGTATGACTGTCACAAAGTTCTTTGCTCTAGGTGATCAGTTGCAGTCTGATGTGTAGTTTTCACGTCTCATCCTGCTGTGTGCCTGTAGTCCTATTACCCCAAATAGTGCTTCTCTCAACTGGTAACAAAATAAGGATAAGAAGCCTCCATTAAAGACCCTGAGTACCAGAATAATTAGTCACACTGGTTTTCCCTGCCTTACTAGAAAAATCCCAAAGTCCTGGATGAAAGAGCTAAGTCAATACAAGAGTCACAAGCAGATCATGTCTCAGCTGGTGCAATGGATTTACTTTAATTAGATCCATCATGAGAGAGGACTTGAACATCCAGTCCAGTTTCATATCTTCATTTCTCAGCAAGTCCTCCAGGCTTCCTTGAGAGCAGTACTCCGTCACTATGGTAAAGATGCCACAGTCAGAGAAAAAGCCCAGGAACAGATTTACATTTTCATGATGCAAATCTTTCATCTGAAACAAGAGAGTGAATCACAGCAAGACCAAGTCAGCTAGACATCTGTTCAGAAGGTTGTTGACAGCATTAGGTGTCCTTATCATTGTACTCCTAAACAGCCTTCCATGCAAGGACAGGGAAGCAGATAACCTCCTTTGTGCTTATTCTCTGCTACTCATCACTCTTCTCAAGCTTTGCCTTCCTTTGTGTATCCACTAAGACAAAAGAAGCAAGATAGGAAAAGCAAACTGAACAGAATTTGGGGTTTCGTTTAGACAAGATAGACTGAATCTTTCACTCAGCCAAAATGTCTTTGCTGGGGCAGGTTAAGTTCAGCATGTGGAATTTTGCTCCAGCTTTGGTCTGATCTGGATGGCAATACCACGCCTAGAGGGTCAAAATCATCTATCAGTGGTGCCTTTGGAAACGTGCCCTGGTAAATATGTTGTATTTATATGTATAAAATGTATACATAAAATGTATAACTGCTATGTTAGCAAGAGCTGTCAACAACTAATGGTCTAGAATTTGGAACATAAATACAGTTTCTTGTCATTTAGTAATAATGATAACATTTAATACTAAAACTAAACTTCTAACGGGCATCTTAGCTGGAGACACAAAGCAAATCCCAGAGAAATGCACAGCTGTATCTGTCACCCTGTCAACATTTAATACATGAAAATGTCTACCAGTGCCTCACACTGTGCAAGGATGAGTTCCCCCAAACCACTCTACTTTTGCAGGCAAGGTCACTTGGAGGATGCGCTGTACATTTAGCATTGCACCAGCTTTGAAGTGGCAGGCCCAGGGGGGGATTTGCAAGCTGCTGTCTCCAACACATGGTTTATCAGATGCAATCATGCATTTTCCATTCTACTAGATTTCAATAGACAGGACTCATTGATAACCATGATATGTTAAACTGATAAATAGGAGACAAGGAGAATAAAAATACCCTGAGGCCACAAAGGTCCCCTGAGGAACTTTCCCTCCACACACCTCTATCATCCCCTGTTCTTACCTTCCTTAAGATGCTGGTGGAGCTTTACTGCAGATTGTGAACTGCTCCCATCTCAAATTTTTTCAGCCACGCCCAGTCTCCCTGTCCACAATCACAGAATCACAGAATGGTTATGGCTGGAAGGAACCACTGATGCATCATCTGGTCCAACCTCCCCTGCTCAAGCAGGGTCTACTTGGAGCACATTGCACAGAATTGCATTCAGGTAGTTCTTGAATACTGTCAGTGAGGGAGACTCCACAACCTCTCTGGGCAATATATTCTAGTGGTCAGTAAAGTGCACAGTAAAGAAGTTCTTCCTAATATTCAGATGGAACTTCCTGTGGATCAGTTTCTGCCTGTTGTCTCATCCTGTTGCCCAGCACTACCCAGAAGAACCTGACTCCATCCTCATGACACCCTTCCTTCAGATACTTACAGACACTGATCAGGCCCCTCTCAGCCATCCCTTCTTGAGGCTGAACAGGCCCAACTCCCTCAGCCTTTCCTCATAAGAAAGATGCTCCAGTTCCCATCACAATATAGGTGGATGAGTGATATAACAGGACTCTGACCAATAGCCAACATTGGGACCTAAGTCTGAATTCCAGAACCTTGACTTTGAAAGTGGTTGGGGATTTTCAGTGTTCTTGGCAGTAGATTCTTTCTATACTGTACCCAAATAGGAATATCCACAGCAAACCCGCAAAAAAATTAGTGTTGAGGCAGGGCCTTCACATGGATCAGAACTTCATACCTGGGAATGTAGTATGTGATAGTATCTGATAAACAATGCTAGATTTATTAAAAAGGAAAGTAACTCTGGCCAGAACTTTTCTCTGGCATTAATGATTGATCCAGTTTATTTTGCTCCTCTTCAGGAAAAGCTACTATGCCATCTTTTCAAAAGCTGTATTTTCAGAAAAGAACTGATGGATGGGGGGAATTTACTTGGCCGTTACCTCTGCTTAAGCTCCATACAGTCCTATTGGCACAAAGGGGAATTTGAGAGCCTTTATTTGTGTATTTGGATCCTGTCTTGTAAGAAATTTCCTTATTAGAGATAAAAACTGTCATGTAAGAAAGATTCTTTGTGGTGTCTTTAGATGGTGACTTCCCTAACAGGGACCAAACCTGGCAATGCCACATATGGATGCTGAATGTCAGGGTGAGGGCTGGGGTAGACCCTCCTTAAACACTGGTAACTCCATGCTTGAGATACTTAGGGTCTGTTCACAGCATTCCCATCCTGGGACCTACAGTACTTCAGCCTTAGATTTTCCCACTTGAGCAGTTCAGTGAACAGAAGTGATAGAAGAAGGCTGCACGAGGTCCCTACCTACCTCATACGAAGCCACATTGGAGGTTTCATGGATGGCAGTTGTGCTTTTCAAGGAAAAGGAACGAGTTATGGATTTCAGGCTTCTGCCATTGACTGCTATGCTGTTTGCGTCAATCATACTGTCCAAGGTCAGCCTCTGGAAGGCAAGAGAAGCAGGTGCAGGACAGTTAGCACCTTTGGATGTAAACCTCCACTCCAGCTCTGTCTTGGACCACAGATTTCTCAGTAAGGAAATCATGGGATTATCACCCAGGAGATCACCAGCTCTGGGTAGGATCCAGCACAGGCCAGGAATGGTTCCCAATAGATTTGAATGCAGACACTCTTTTAGAGGGTAAGATGATTTTTATATATGGCCATGAACTATGCTATACCATCCAACCTCAAGTACAAAGAATAAGCCCTGGCAGTTGGAATAAACACAACCAGGGGTACTATTTACATCATCATAAAAGCTCTGAAACCTAATCTGAGACTCAAAAACACTCAGTGTAAGGGAAATTTTCTGATATAAAGGGCAAAACGAGACATGGAAAGTGAATGACCTTTCCAGAGCTTCTTGGGTATGAAAATACCACACAGTCAACCTCTTTCAGAATATTCCACCAGCTTATTTTAAAAAGTAGAAGGACTTGCCTTTCTATGTAGATCTGGGTTGATGAAGATGAGATCATCCAAGGTCAGTATTATCTTGTTCGGACCCTTGAAAAACTGGTTGTTCAAGATACTCTGCCTGCATGAATTGGAGAGTCACACTTAATCATTTTCAGGTAGGTAACCAGTTTACAGAACTTATGAATTCCCCACATCTATATTCCCTGCAGTATTAGACCCAGAGAGTCTATCAGGAAAAGCCTATAGCACAGGTGACATCACACCTCATCATTTTGAACCCACTGTACATGGACATTAAGATCTAACGCTGAGCACAAAGCAGACTATATCTATTAGACAGTAAAAAAACTCATCAAGCAGCAGAGTAGGGAAGGGAAAGCTTTCCCATTGCCCTTAGTGTCACTTCTTTTGTTTAAGGCACTTTGTCAACACTACAGCAGATGTCTGACCTGAACCTGCCTAAGACTTTTCCTGGTGAGGTGGACAATAGGATGCCTTTTGCTAATTCTACTGTAGAAGGTCTCCATTTCATAAAATACCCATACAACACCACAATTCATTTTTCCACTCTATGCACCACTTTGTGAATTTTAGAAGGCAACAGGCAGCCTTCTGGACCTCAGGGAGAGCCTTGGCCATATAACCCCAGGCTTCACCTAGAATGATTTTTATAAACTTTCTCTAACCACACTGTCCCAACCACCCAACTTATCTTCATGCAAAAAACTCATCACTTATGTACCTTTCACCAGTCCATATGAAAAACCTTGTTGATCAATCATATCCTCTCCCCCAAGCATAGAAGGAAGCACCCCTCTGCTGAAAGCAAAGCACAGAGTGTGGAGTCACTCACTTAAGGTCATGCAGCAGATCTCTGGCAAAGCTCAGACCAGAGCTCCCACATTTAAACTCAGACGATGATGTAGTTTACATTTAGCTCCAGACATGCCCTTTCCTAATATAAATCATTGTCTGAGTCATGCTGGACTTCTTTTCCTTCCCTTGCAGATGGTCATACATCTTTACTTGTGAGTGAGCCTTCCCAAGCGCAACCTGGTACTTGTGGAAGAGCTTAGAGATAAAGTAGGCAGAAAGATTGTCTTCTATTGACTTAATTGTAGAGGCTGGTGGCTAAGAAATAGAGCAGGCTTTCAAAGCATGGGTGGATGGAGGCAACCTCCTCAGAGCCTGCAATTATGTCAGAAGCAGCTGTGTGCTGAAAGTGGGGGAGCTGTTCGGAGTATTGCTTTCTGGGTGGCCTTATATCTTCTGGGTTTGGAGGGATGATTCAGGAGTGGAGAGAAAATGTTTGAGGATTATTTGAAAGGCAAATGGATGGAACAACCTAGGAACCCTGCTTTTCTGAACTCATTGCTGCTGAGTAAATATGCCTTCTAATTGCAGTCTATTTTCACTCTAATTTCAGTCATGTAGACATCAATAATTAGAGACAGAGTACCCCAGGGGGCATGGTGTCCTTGCCAAAGAGCAAGCCATAACTCCAGAATGAATCAATCTATTCTGGCTCATGTCCATATTGGATATAGAGTCAGAACACAAGTGTGACCTATGTGATTATTGGAAACTGTTCCTTCCACAGAAAACTACTGCATTTGCTCCAAAGATCCCATGCCCAAACCAATATATTTACAATGGGAATGACCAGGGAGCTGCACTCCAGTTCAAAACAGAGAATGAATAAGCTCAATAATAAAGAGGTATCTAATAATTGCTCAAAACCCTCTCCAGAGGTATTTTCTCTCTCTCTTTAGTACATGGAGAAAGGACAGAGGGTCAGCCTAGTTGTTTCATAGGAAACATGGTTATATTAGGGACAGATATCCAGGCAAGAATGATCTAGGGTAAGAGAAAGACTTGGTCTCCACCCTCATGCTCTCACAGCAGATTCCTGTCTTTGGTTTGTATTTCATCCTTTGCATTTCCAAAGTGATAGTCACCTTTCTAATGCTTCAGACCCATGATCAGGCTAATCCTTTCAGCAACAGACTGCAATCTTCTACTAAGCCTGAACTGGATTAAGGGCAAAATATCTGCAGAATCAATGCCCACAGTGCTCAAGTCACTAGCACTTAATAAAGTTGTATTGGGTTGGTGTGGCAAGGTTTTGGTAGTGGGGGGCTGTAAGGACAGCTTCTGTGAGAATCTGCTAGAACCTTTCCCCATGCCCAATGGAACCAACGCCAGCCAGCTCCAAGATGGACCTGCCACTGCCCAAGCCCATCAACCACAGTGGCAGCACTTCTGGGATAATGTATTTAACAAAGAAAAGATAACTGGGCAAATTCAGCCGGAGAAAAGAGTGAGAATATGTGAGAGAAACAGCCCTGCAGACATGAAGATCAGTGAGGCAGGAGGGGGAGGAGATTCCTCAGCAGCCAGCCCATGGTGCAGACCATGGTGAGGCAGGTTGTGCCCTTTCAGACCATGAATGTTCTCAGTGGAGCAGATATCCACCTGCAGGAGGACCTCATGCCTGAGCAGGGGGATGCTCAAAGGAGTCTGTGACCCTGTGGGAAGCATGCACTGAAGCAGAGTCCTGGCAGGACCTGTGGACACATAGAAAGAGTAGCCCATACCAGAGCAGATTTGCTGGCAGGACTTGTGGCCCCATGGGCACCTACATTGGAGCAGTCTGCCCTACTCCAAAGTACTGCACTCCTTGGAAGGAATCCACACTAGAGCAGTTTGTGAAGAACTGTAGTCCGTGGGAAGGACTCATATTGTATATGTTCAGGGAGGACCATCTCCCATGGAAGGGACTCCATGCTGGAGCAGGGGAAGGGTGTGAGGAGTCCTCCCCCTGAGGAGGAAGGTGTAGTAGAGACACCACGTGATGAACTGACCACAGCTCCCATTCCCTGGCCCCTGTGCCACTGGCAGTGAGGAAGTAAAGAATTTGGGAGTAAAGTTAAGCCTGAGAAGATGGGAGGGGCGGGAGATGGGAGGAGAGGAGTCGAAGGAAGGGAGAGTCTTGGGTGGGTGATTTTAAGATTTGGTTTTATTTCTCATTATCCTACTCTGGCTTGATTGGCAATAAATTTAATTTCCCCAAGTCAAGTCCATTTTGCCCATTGTGGTAATTTCTGAATTATTTCTCCCTGCCTTATCTTGAGCCTTTTGTTATATTTTCTCTTCCCTGCCCAAATAAGGAGAGGAGGAATAGAGTGGCTTTGGTGGACACTTGGCATGCAGCCAGTGTCAACCCACCATAAACATGAAGAGATATGTGGGTGGAGAGCAAAGATCGCAATCAAACCTGCTATGTGTGCATGGTCTGTTAAACTGCTGGTTAAAGCACAAGCCTCCCACAGGATCTAAAAGTGGCCCCAACAAAAATACATGCTTCAATTCTCACCTGATGAGAGAAGCCAGGCCCACAGCACACAATGACAGGGCAAATGTCAGCATTACTCCCAACATAATGACTGCAGGCTCTATCCCTGTGCAAAGAGGGGAAAAGAATCAGTGAATTAGAAAATTTCTTTGATTTAGGCAATAATATCAAAAACATCAATATCAAACCATTAGATTACAAAGTCAAATATTCAGCCAGGAGAATGCCAGAAGACAATTTTTATACAGCATTGATATGTGAATATACAAATAATTTCTAACTTTGTTTACATGAGACTGCAACTACTCCAATTATTTATTTCCATGCACCATTTTTTTCTGTACCACACCTAGAGCACTGGATCAGTGGAAAAATAACTTTTCTTCAAATGAAAAAAGACTAAACTCATGGGGAAGTACTATGTTTTAGAGTAAGCTCCTGCAAAGTTCATAGCTTTTTAACATTTGACCCTGTTCTCTCCAGGAACTGAAATGGTGAAAAATCTGTATCACATGGTGCCAGACTGATGGCCAGTGTGAGTCACTAGCCCATCTGAGATTTTTCATTCTCTGCTACAGATTTCTAATGCTGAAAAGAGCAGAAAAGGAGGAGGAGAAGGTTGATGTTCTCTTGAACTGGTCCATTGACAGAAAGTGCTGGAGAGAGAAACTTTGCTCATGATTGTGTTTACTAGAGAGCTAAGGGAAGCTGACATGAGTGATTGAGCTAAATTCCAGTGGGAACTGTTTGCTGTGTCTGTCTTCTGATTTTTCTGTTTTATTCTGTTTGTATTCAGATATCCATAAACACAAACAAACATGGAGAAATTTGGGGTGATAAAATGTTCATGAGTCTATGTCACACTTGCACCTAAACCACAGACCTTTGTGCAAGCACTGAAACCTAGATCTTCTCAGTGAAAAATGAAGGCGTTTTTGAAAATTGGTGTCCACTTTAGGAAGAAACAGAACATTTTGGCTGAAATTTTTCTGCTGGGGTTTGGACTTAGTTTCTGCTTCAGCCTAGGTCCCCAGTGCCCAATTGTCTTCACTCATGCATTGCCACAAATTGCCCATAGAAGCTATGGCTGCCCCATCCCTGAAAGTGTTCAAGGTCAGGCTCAATGGGGCTTGAGCAACTTAATCTAGAGGAAGGTGTGCCTGCCCATGGCAGAGGGGTTTAACAAGATGATCTTTAATGTATGGAAGAGGATAGGGATGCTGGTCACACATAAACATGTGCAATTTTTCCAGCAAATTCCCATGCCTGCTTATCACAATATGTCCTGCCTTCTTTTTAACCTCTATTCCTAACATTTTTTCCTGGACAAGTGTAGTCTCTCACTGCATGCAATGTTTACAGACTTCACATCTACCTAACTAACAGGTAAGGTAACTCCTGGAGCCTCCAACCCATGAGAGACCACAAATCTGGAACAGGCTCCTGCAGAGACTGAAGGATTTGGGAGCTGGCTAAGGGGGGAATTTAGGTTTGGACCATCTACCAGAAGATGCATTTGTAAGTCTGCGGAAGCTGCGATTGTGAGATCTGGTAGCAATCTTGGAGTCTAATTACGTGATGCATAAGAACAGGATCAGGCCATTTGTATTGTCCATGTCCCAGCAATGCTGATTGTGGGTAGTGGTGCCTGTAAACACATAGCTGTCTTGTATGTGCTACTCTGTCAGTGACTGGCTGTGTCTGCAGTGTGTGTATGTGTGCATGTGCATGCACCAGGAAACAGCAGCTCAGCCTGGCTCCTGGTGGGCCTGGAGTTAGGAATCACAGCAGCCTGACAACTTCACATCCACCACCCCTCCAAACCTATCTCCATATGAAAGCCAGACTGAGGCTTGGATTTAGTTCTAACAATAAAATTCAGTCTTGGAAACATTGCTAATAATAATAAATTACTGCTTCTCTGACAAATGCCTACAGCTTTATGCTTTTGTAAAAGTGTGAACATAAAATACAATCTTTCTAATAATCAGTGGGATTTTTCCATAGACTGCAATGGGATGTTAAATTGCTACATCGTTCCTAGTGGCAGTGCAAAATTAGATATATGATAGTATTATATTTGCCTCTTCTATAGCTTGCCAGTTGCTGTAAGATCAGTAGATCTCCAGTTTTCATAGACCGACACTGATTTAAACCAGCTATGGATGAGCCAAGGGAAATGTTTTTCTCAGCCACTGAATGAAATATTCTGTAGATGTGGTTAATTTTGTCTATTTAAGTCATGTCCTGGAGCAGTAGGTGTAAATGTTTAGTATTATAAGTAAATATGTCAAGAGGATGCTAAGTATTCTACTCTGAGATTTTGGTTTCCCTGTGGACATTAAAACTGAACCACAGTTGCCTCAAATTAAAAACAGTAAGAAAATACAGTGCCCAGTCTTTCAAACCTAGAAATCAGCACAGATACATCTGCGCCCACACCTTCAATTACTACCTCTGTTGCCTACAGTAACTCAAATTATTTTGAGTGATGATTATAATTTTTTCTCATTGAGGTGAGCTGTGATGGTCCTTAAAGCCATACTGCTAACTGGGCAAATAAGCTGGGGTTATCCAGGAGAGATGGTGAGGGCATCTGCTGTTGCACAGCTCTCTGAAGCTGTCTTCAAGGCAAATCCTCTTAGTGCCCTGACCCTCAGAAGGACAGGGATACAGTGCTGGGTGGAGCCTCTGGTATATATTGGTTGTTGTTAGAGTGGGCAGAATGCTGACTGTTAGATCTGGAAAACCCTTTCAAGTTTGTGGCAACAGCCTTATTGGTCCAGGGAAGTGGTGAGTCCAGAGTCCTTGGAATTGTTCAAAAAACCTGCAGATGTGGTGCACAGGTACATGGTTTATTAGTGGAACAGGCAGAGTTAGATTAATGGTAGGACTCAGTGATCTTTTCCAGCATTAAAGATTCTATGATTCTGTGGCCTAACAATCAATAAGAGTCTTGTGGAACAATAGTGGGATCACTGCATAGGGTTCCCATTACAAACAGCATGACTGCACATCTTTATATTAATTCTTGAATTTAGACTTCTCTTGTTGGGGAGTTCTAATTTAAAGGGGTAACCAACTGGAGTGAGAGAAAAGACTGAAGAAATGAGAGGCATGGACTCAATGACATTTGACTCTTTTGTTGTTTGGGTTTTTTTTCTTTCTTACCTTCTGTGCAGAGAACATCTGGATCAAACCAACAGCTGGAGTCTGTCTTGGGTGGAACTTCATTGGGAAAGTGGATGGCCTGGCCTAGGGACAACACAAAGTCCAAAGATGTCATGTGGGTTGGGAAGAGCTGGTTCCCATGACCATCTGTGTCCAGTATCACATAGTTGCTCAGCCCCTTCCCACAGCTGTCTGTCTCTACCCAGTGACTAAATCCAGGGAAACTGAAGTTTTTTGTGTGCTCAGCTATGTTAGCTCCTGAGACTCTGACTCCTTTCCTCCGGGCACTGTCTAGAGCCATTGCCATGAAGTAAACAGCATCATATATTGTTCCAAAGAGTGGAGAAACCTAAAAATACAGGAGAAATCGAGGTCAGGACATACCACGCCCAATCTCTAGTTTGAGATTTGTGGCAAAATATCGTCCCACTGGCTAAGCTGTAAACTCCAGTATTAAGCCACCTGAGGATTAAGGCTCACAGAATAATGGGTTTGAAGAATCCTAGGTTGAAGGCAGATCTGGATTGACCCAATATATGTGAGACTTTGCATATCAGTCTTTTCTTATGATTTCTTCCCAAAATACAATTTCAGAATATTTTTAAAACCATGCAAAATTTCTTTATGATGGGAAGAGCCAAGATTCTGAGCCTAATGAGCTCAAACTTATCACAACCTGCCTCAAAACACTACGCTAAAACATTTTCCACAAACAGTAGAGGCTCATCTCCCTCCCTACCCAGACAGGAAAGGTATCATACCCAAAGAATCAGTCTTCTCAGTCAGAATATTATTTACTCCCAAAGCAGAGCTACATCAAACTTGTTCTGTGACATAATAGAGCCTTTTATGTTTGCATTGCCCTCTTCCATGACAGACTTGATTTAGGAACCTATAACATAAATGCTGACTCTTGCAATCACATGGTCATTCACAGTTGGTGAAGAGCTGTGATAGCCATACACCTGTGAGAAAATGAGGAGTGCTGTTAGGGCCCACAGCATTCAACATTTGTGGTGGAACTCATGATCAGATGTAGATATCTACAATGAAGAACTTGACACTCAATATAGTTAACCCGGGTTCTCATTACAGTGAAGGGAAAGAAATGAATGCTTTCAAGGCATGATTCATCTCCCTCCAGGGTAGACATCTGTGCATATCTGATAAATCATGCCTTAAAAGTACTCGTAATTTTTTGTAAGGTCATAGGTATATTTGAAGATTAGATTAGCTCAGCTGAATCCTGCATATCTTCACCAGTATGAAGTTCCCCGATTCTTCTTGTAAATGTCCACAAGGTAATAACTGGTTGGTTTAATAGACTACCAGTGACATTTAGATAATTGTGCTGACAAAGAATAGCTTTGACTATAGTGCTAAGAAGAATGAGGTAGCAATGACCTCAAGCATTTTTCTCTAGAAGCATCCAGTATTTCCTCAGTCTGTTTCATCCCCTCAAATTCTCAGGCATGTGAAGGTCTTCTTTTTGTTCCTTACAAACTCCATGAACTTTATCCGCCTTAGGAGATGCCTCTTCGGCTTGTGCCCACACGGCAAACCCAATCTGAGACCCTCAGAGACAAGCCCTTTCTCTTGAATTCCCAGCATGGTCCTGCAGCTGAACCAACCAAGCTATATTGCCAGACACCCAGGGGAATTGGTCTTTCCAAATGAATGCAGACCATATTCAAATTTTGCCATATTTGTCTCAAAATGAAAGCATGCAGTCTGGGTTGACACTCCTCTGTACTTTCTCTATAATTATTGCTTGCCTCATGTCTCCTGTTGTCAGGTCCCAGAAAGCCCAAGAGAAAGACTATTTACCTGTGTGGCTTCCAGATCCCTGGTTATTTCACCACTTTCTTTAGCTTCCCTGAATGCATCATAAAAAGTCCTTTCTCTAGACTCCAGTGTGATAGTCAGCACAGCATCATATGCTTTCTGGAGCTTGCTGTCATTATTGAAGATGTTGAATGAGTTGTTTTGGTATGGAAGACTGTACAGTAAAGTGTCATATGGAACAAAGACATATCTTCCATCTGCTAGTCCCATTTCCAGAGCTTTTGTGAGTAAGGCGGCCTGTTCCTCCCCTCCAATGAGAACAGAATGCATGCACAGGAGTATAACTGAAAGACAAGGACAGCAGACAACATTGTTAATCTATTTGGGGTCTTCAACACAAAATAGCTCTGTCCTTGACAGCAGACAACATTGTTAATCTATCTGAGGTCTTCAACACAAAATAGCTCTGTCCTCTCCAATAAAAGAGCTGGCTGAACTACTCTATCAGGTGAGATTCTGATGTTATGTGCTGAGGAAGCTGGGAGCCATACCCATTTTGTTCAACCTCTGAAGGTCTGCAACTCTTAGTAAAGGAGGCTGTGAGTATTTCCTATTTCTGGAGCTGTAAAGAAGGAGGAATGGAGAGAAATGGGTTAACATGATGGGTAGTTGTGCTCATCATTGTCATTGACCATGAGACGAGCTTTCTCTCTGTGTACCCTGCGCTGACAGACACCACACAGTGGTTAGCAATGCCCAACCTCCACCCATTCACCCTGTCACCATATATACAGATTATAGGTTGGACACTGCTGTGTTTAAACATCTGATTCATCATTAAATATGCTTGACTGTGCCAAAGTCTGTCTTTGCCTGCAAAATGTGATGGGGCCAATATCCTCATGTCGGGTGGGGAGATCTGAAATACAGGTGTTTCTGTTTAACAGGCTTTCCACAGTGCTCACTGGCCCTTCATGAAAGGAATCACTCTTCATCTTTGATCCAACATAACATTTCAAAACTAAGTCAACAAGAGAAAAAAACTGGGCAATGATGGGAAGGAAAGTTGCAAAGGAGGCCTGGTGGCTATTAAACCAGGAAAGAGCAGGATCTCTAGAGTAGCTATAGTCTCTCCTTAGAAGTATCCTTGGCAAAGTAGAAACTAAAGTGAACGAGAGTATTTTGGGGTTTCTGAAATACAGGAAAGAAACAGGTACTTCTTGACAGTGATTCATTCCCTCCTCTGGCAGAGAGCTTGAGCTGGTCAAATAATGTTTGAAGAGGGGCTGGTTCTCTCCATTGATTATGAAAGCAACCCATCTGTAACCCACATGGAGAGCTGTGATTGTGAGAAGATGAGCCCACCAAGGTGGATTTGGTCTCAAGCACGGATCTGAGCACTTAGTTAGACAGCACCTTGCTACCCTTGTAATTCTTTGGCATAAAAGTCAAAGTCAGCAAAAATGCATCCTCATTGGAGTCACAGTGCTGACTGCAGAGGTGTACATCCAGGATCAGAGCTCCATCACAGACTTCTTAGCAAGGCTCTGAACCAGAAAAACATGACATTTCCCCCTCATTTTCTCAAGAGAAAGACTGTTCTTTGCTACATGCTGAGCACCAACGAGGGCCCTTCCACTTCTTTACTAGTCTGTGGTGTATCGCAATGGATTTCACTTCTGATACCTTCACACAGGCATTAAGGACACAACATCAAAGTGTGAGGTTTTTGATAATTCACAATACAAATCACCATTAATATAAAACCTTCCTCTAAACCCTTGTTTACATGTGTCAAGCACAGACACCCATCTACTAAATTTTTTTTTTTCAGATAAACTGGACCAAATCTTTCATGCTGTAGAAGACTAATTTGCTCTATCTCCATCACATACAAAATGCCCAGCATTCTTTTATATGAAACCCTGGCTATGTTAAGGTCAGAGATAAAATTCTTCTTGACTTAAACCACTTCAAATTTTCATTCGCTGAACTGTGTCCATGGGATAACAATGCAATCTTACCCTGGAGAAAAGAAAAAAAAAAAAAAAGAAAAAAAGAAAAAGAGAAAAAATAGAAACTAATGATACTCAAAGCACTTACTTTTAATGTCCTTAACTTCTTTAATCTCATTCCATGTGTCTTCAATGCCTTTTTCTCCTTTATGCATGGATGTAACAATGCCTACATGCAGCCCCTGGTTCCTGATTGCACTTGCTAAGTTGTTGGCTGTGTAAATACAAATATCCTCATTGGATGCAATGATGCCAACATGAGCCCAGTTAAAATATTTCATTACTGTAAACAAAACTTGAGTTGGAGACGGGAGGGTCCTTGGAAACATAGGGTGATGAATGGTGGAATCCAGCTTATAATTAATGCACATCCATGAGAAGATAGCTTTATTCCAGTTTTCCCCTAAATGCGTAGCCACCTCACAGAAACCAGGGTTTAGAGGGCCTGTGAAAGCTGAGGAAAGCTTTCCAAAGTCAATGAATCTAACCAGAGCTCTTGATGTCTCACATTCTTCTTGCAGGATCACATAATCCAGGCTGTGGCCAAGATCTAGTGAAGGATCTTTGCTTATTCGTCCCACAGCTAACCTGGCAGCCACATGGGGAAAGGCTTTGGAAAAGAACGGGTCACATTTCCAGGGTCCAAGCAGTCCAATCTTAAAGACAGAACAATGTGCTGGAGAGCAAAGCAGAAATATTCCCAATAGCACCCACCAGAGAGCCTGGAAAAAAGCCTTGAATGGATTTCTGATGTTGAAGTGATGCAATCTAATGTGCCTCAGTAGCACCCAGAACAAGTTGTTATTACACCATAGGAGAAGTGACATTGTTTTGCAGGTGAGTAGATCTGCATCAAGTCTTTCAGGAAGTCAGGCAGTGCATTACCAGATGCTGGAAGGAAAGTAGATTACATTTGCCTTGCTCTGTATATATTTGTTCAGTGCACATAGATACAGCTGAGTCAGCCCAAATTGCACAACAGTTCTCAAGGTGCAAGTCTATGGGGAGACAAAATCAGGCAAAGACACATGGACATGCACCATATGAGCTACCTTGCCCTGCAGAAAAGTGTCCAACCAATGTCAGATGTACCATAACACTTAAATGCACACTTATATAAACATTTTACTATTCTTTGCAATATATTCTGAAACCACGCAGTGAAGAATGAGTCTGCTTTGTTTGCAGCAGCAAGCACAACCTATGTATACACTATGGTTTTGGTTCTCCAAAAGGATAATTCCCAAATCACACAAGAACTCAAATTAGAAAATAAAAAGGTGAAATGCATTAAGCCAGCAACTTCTGCCAGAACTCCTCAGTGAGTTTTGAACATGAATCAGTGCCCATACAAACATAAACACACACACTCACATATATAGACCCGTATATTCAAATAGTTAGGGATACACATGTATGTTAACGATATTTTTAAATGTTCTGAACAAGTTTTTCAAGAACTACTCTTATAAGCCTGGCAAAATGAAAGGTAGATAAACAGGTAATCAGAAAATGAGGGAAAAAGAGGTTTATGATTTGAGTTTAGATAAAGAACTGCTAAATAACTGTCAGGTCAAAAGTTTTGTGTACACTCTTGGCTTAAAATACTCTTGGTTAAATACTAAGAGCCTTTGAGGGTAGTTTTTCTTTGGAATAACAGTCTCACCTTTCACAGCCAGGCATGGCTTCATGGTTTAACCCCAGCTAGCAACCAAGAACCATGCAGCTGCTCACTCACTCCCCCACCAATGGGATGGGGGAGAGAATCGGAAGGGGAAAAGCTAGAAAAACTCATGGGTTGAGATAAAGACAGTTTAATAGAAAAAGCAAAAGCTTCACCTTTTCCACTGCTGCCATTTGAAGTTAACTGAGATGAATCCCAGCCCAAACTAACAGCTGATCCCTGTCATGGTTTAACCCCAGGCAGCCACCAAACACCACACAGCCACTTGCTCACTCCCCCACCAGCAGGATGGGGGAGAGAATTGAAAGGGTGAAGGCTAGAAAAATTCATGGGTTGAGATAAAGATGGTTTAATAGAGGAAGCAAAAGCTGCACACACAAGAAAAGCAAAAAAAGGAATTAATTCACTGCTTCTTATGGGCAGGAGGTGTTCACCCATCTCCAGGAGAGCAGGGCCCATCACATACAATGGTTCCTAGCGAAGATAAACGCCATCACTCCAGATGTCCCCCCTTCCTCCTTCTTCCTCCCACCTTATATACTGAGCATGATGTCAGATGGCATGGAATATCTCTTTGGTCAGTTTGGGTCACCTGTCCCAGCTGTGTCTCCTCCCAGTCTCCCATGTACCTCCAACCTCCTTTGCAAGCGCAGCAGTACGGAAAACAGCAAAGGCCTTGGCTCAATGTGAGCTCTGCTCAGCAACAACAAAAACATCTCTACATTATCAACCCTGTGCTCTGCAAAAATCCTAAACACAGCCCCATACTAGCCACTGTGAAAAAAGTTAACTCTACTTCAGACCAAACCGGCACACACAGAAATAGCAAAGCCTCAACAGTCTCCCTGCCATCTGCAGTGTCACTCCACAGCTTAGAAAACTTTGCTGTTCCTAGCAAGTTTGTGCTCTGAAAACTGCAGGCCCCTTACACCAGCTTACCTGTTTGTTACTGAAGAAATACTTTTATCCTGGATCCTCAGCCACCAAGAAATGCAACACAGTGCACAGCAATGCAGTGTGTGCTGCAAATGTACTCGCAGACCCTCTAGCCTGGTGGAGGGACACCTCCAGAAGGAGCCACCCACCAGCAGAACACCTTCTCACCAGTGGCAGTGGCTATCCTCAGACAAGGATACCACCACAAGGATAGGCAATGCACAATCCACTTCCTGCTTTGGTGCCCACCTCCTTCAACTTCTTTCTTGTGTGGGCCACTCTAGCTAGGTGAGTGCTCTGGGACCCTCTATTTCAAGTCAAAAGCTTTCTATGTCCCTTAATGGCCCTTTGGTGAGGACAGTCCTTCACCTGAGGTCTTCTCAACTTGAGGTATAACCTCCCAAGCCCCTTAATTCCGTGATGAAGGTCTTGCAGAAGTCCAAGTTTGCCTCATGCTGAACTGTCTCAGTGCAGAGATGTAATCCTATCTAACTTAGTAGTTGCAGTGATGGCATCTTAAAGCTCTGCCCTTGGATTAGTTGTATTTATCTCCTAGGATCTACCCTTGCAGAACAGCTCCTTAATCTCTCTGCACAGATGCAGAGATGGCTCCTCTTCTGCCCTATGAAAAACAGAGACAAGAGTTATTTTAGGTTTGCGGTAAGCAGAACATATTATTTTAGGCTTTGCCATTCTGATGATTTGTTATGTTCCCCTTTTCCACGTTCTCTTCTTTGTGCCCATCATGACACAGAGCTTTTTACACTTCCATCAAAATTTTCTTGGGGGTTGAACCAGATCACCTTTAAATGTTCCTTACAATACAAACTATTCTATAATTCTATGATTCTTGGTTTTTTCTTTGGGTCCTCTAGATACCTCCCTAGAGCTGAGCCCTCCAATAAACTTCTCCACATTCCCAGACACCTTCCCCAGGGGACCTGACAATAAAACTAACATCTCAGCCAAAAACAGCACAACCTCGTACGTCTCCATGCCTGTCCTAGCTAGGAAGGCCCTTGCAATAGTTTAGCTGAACTCACAGGACCAGCGCTTGTAGTCTCGAGGAAACCATTTGTAATTCAAACTTTTAGCAGTACTAACTTCAAATAAATCATGTAAACAATTATTATCTCGTTGGTGTGTGTTCAGAAGCAGTTCTGCGTGACTAATGATTGAGGGAAGTCACAAAGTCTTTCAGATGCAGTGGGGAGAGCAGCTCTCTGTTAATTTCATTCATTTCCTCTCATTCATTCATTTCCTTGCATAGCCCAGATTCAGGAAGATTCCTGGACATGTGCTTCATTGAAGCCTGGTACAGCTAAGATAGTTATCAGGGATTATCAAATAGCTTCACATTTGGAAAGTCAAGCCTAAACTCAGAACACTGCTTTGCATGCTACTAGTGCATTAGGTTTTGACAATAGGTTTTACTCAAAAAATTACATTAAATAAAATTTTTTCAGCTAGGAGCCTTATTTTTTTTCAATTTAAACTTAAAAGTTTGATTTATCCATATACAGATATAGCTATATCTCTATCCATATATCATATGCTCACTGTAACCTCATTCCTTTTGGTATAAAAAACGGTGCTGCAGTTTAATTCCACTACAGATCAGCAGTCTCAAAGTCTCCTGAAGTAGCTGCAAAACCAGTGACTCACTTTTAGGGAATGTTTATAGTATTTAAATCACCTCTGCTGAGAAACATGTGGGTCAGGCACTCAGCAATGACAGATTAAAGAATAATCTTGGAAGTCTATTCATTAACGTAATTACTCTGCCCTTAACATTTCCATAGTCAAGAGGGTTGAAGCCCTTATCATTGTCTCCATTTTACTCTGTTTCTTGTTTCCCAGTGAATGAAAAGACCACCAAGTAATAACGGTGGCAGGAATCCATCCTCCATAGGAAAAGCTGGTTATCCCAAATGGGTCTGCCACATCTCTCCCATGCTCAGGGTATCCAAGATGGGATAACACACCTGCTTCTGCAAAACAAGCTAAGGTCCTGGCACTGCCAGATTGGTTTCACTAATGAACAAGCAACCTGAGGAAAAAAAATAATTTTTAAGGTAATTCACCTGGCTGGAATTAACATAAAAGTGTAAAACATTGCCTGTGCCTCCAATTGTTGCTTTTCTTCTCACATCTTATGCTCATTACTGTAACAGCCGCACCACAGAGCAAAGATTTCTTTGCAACGATGCGTTATTTGCAAAGCATCAGACTAATTCCCAAGACTTCCATACTCACTGAAGTGAGTGAATGACCTAACATTTCCCACGGGGCAGTTAAGCCACAGTTCTGTTGCTTTGCTTTTCATTTTTAGAGCAGGAGAGGGTGCTCTAATCTCTCATTCTGACCTCCTGCATCAGCCTGGCCAAGCAGCCTCTCCTGAGCTGCTGCTGCTCTGAGCTCTTCCTGCATCCTGGAAATAAAATGCGTTTCATAATGAATTATACCAGAGGGTACAGCTGAATAAAGCTGATTTCTCTGGAAAACCTCTGCTGTCAGCAGAGAGAGACAGGGTAAAGGCTTGACTCCTGTTCTGCTCCCTCTGCAGAAAAGTCTCATTTCTCCTCTGATTATAGAGAAAATTGAGGGAGAGCAGCATGGCAATGCTCATATTAGCTTTTCTTCACATCCTCTGAGCCTTAATTAAAAGCTCCAGCCTTGGAGGATCTACCAGGTTCCTACAGCTATTATTCCAACTGTTAATTACCGTCAACATTAAAAATACCCACTTAATGTCTAGTGTGTCTGATTTCAGCTTCCTGCAACTAGCTCTCACTCTGCCTTTGCCTGAGAAACAAAAAGCAAGGATGCACAATAAATATCACCTCCCTGGAGACATTTGCACACTGTAATTAGCTCCCATCCTAGTCATCCTCTGAGCAAAATAAATAAACATCTCATTAAGATTTTTGTCATAGAGCATGGTTTTAGGATTCCATCCTTGCAATGCTCTTTTGACATTTGTTTTTAATTTTCTTTCTTTTTGCTAAATTAAAAAAATAGCCATTAGTCAGTCTCATTCCTTAATGCTGAATATAGGGGTGAGGACATCTTTTATCATCTATTAGATTTTTCTCTACTTTAATTCTACAGCTTGGATGAACACAGTTGCAGCACCACTGTTTTCAAGTCTTTCTCTGCTCTCCTTAATGCAGACATCTGCCTTGGAACTGTGCTATGAATTCTTTG